AAATGTGATTTTGGGCAGGACACTTAAAACAGTACTTATTTGCAATCATAATAATACCTAACATTTACATAACACATTAATATAAGATTGCACGTAGGTGACATACTGTTGGAGCTGAGACTCTAAGACCATTTTGCCCTACTGAGTCAAATGTTTCTTTTTTTGAACCAATAAACAATAATAACAGTAGAATCTTGCATTTTTCATACATCTCAATGAATTGTGAGGCTGGGAAGATAGAATTTGCTACATAAAATTGTAAAAACACCACTTCCTTGGCATATTTTCATCAAGGATGTCTAGATCTACAGATACAGACCATTCTCATAAAGATTGGTACAGCTGAAACAGAAGGCAAAACAGTACTTAAAGATGTCTCCTTAATCACCTTTTTTTTTTTAGTATTAAAAGTACTTGATCAAGTACTTGATCTTTTTCATTTTTTTGTAATGTTGACAGTGAAGTATCTTTCACACCTATAGTTAAGATTTGATCATACAAAATCCTCTGGCAGATAGAACCAGAGGCAACTTTGTTCAGTGATTTGCATGCATCAGTGAATTAATCAATATTCATAATTTCTCATTCTTATTACATTACCAATCCAATTTCTTTGCTGGTCACACATGTCCTGCATGTTTTCCCTAACAAATTACAAAATGTTGATGATCACCATTGTCCACATCTGTTCACATCCATCCTGTTTGATGAAACAATCAGTCAACAGTCATTTATTACACATTTACTATTTGAGGGGCACTATGCTAAGAGCTGGGGATAAAAAGAAAAGCAAAATCATGGTCACTGTCCTCAGAGAGCTCAAATGAAGAGGCATACTTCTGAAATATAGGAAGCAGACTCAACAGTGATGAGATAATATGGTGGTCAGTTATAAAATTGAATTGGTTTGGTGTGAGAATCAAGAGAATCAATTGGATTCTATCTCATGAATACTGACTCCATCTTGTGCTGCCACATGTATTATCTGCCATCTTTTTTTCTGTAAACCACCCATGAGAAACTAGATGGTATAGGCCATTTAGTGTTTCAAACAGCTTGACTGAAACTCACTCTTCCCCCCTCTCAACTTGGAAAGCCCCTAATCTTTCCTCTAATTAGAAATCAGATTACCTAATTTTGTATCCTGGTTTGCATTCTTTTAATAGTTTTTTTTAATTAATTAGTCTTATTTGATTAATTGTTTTTAATACATAAAAATTTGTCTCACTCTGTATTCAGGGTCTTTAGGCTGAGGAATCCAATGACCCATTTGTAATGTCTGTTTTGCTAATAAATCTTACAGCTCAGATTTGTGTTTCCTCGGTTATTATAAATTATCCATCACAACAGCCACCTTCCTAAAATGAAGCACTTCTCACTTAAGACAAGTGAAAGAGTGGAAAAATATTACAGAAGCTACTTTGCAATATAGATCTTTCCCCATTCTCTTTTCCCTGGATGGCTTGTTTATTTTTCTTCATGAAAAATCCTACAAATCTAATCCAATATGGAGCAGTTTAGGCGCTTGAAGGGATTTGTTTTAAATCTGCCTGTTTTTAATCAGAGCTGCTGCTATACCACCAAATGACCAACTGCTATGACTGCAAATGTTATGATTCTTAACAGTAATTACCTGCATTTCTAATTGTGTTTTCCTTATTTATTTTTCCCCTTAAATGATGCCCCAGGATGTGCCAATGCAATAAGGGATAAGAGAACACTATAGCAAATGCTATTTTCACTTCAATGCAATATTCCAAATGAATGTTCGGGTATTTGCTTTTGATGGATGACAAGCTTTTCTTTGATAAGAGAGATACTGCTCAGCAATTGCTAACTCTCCATTTACTTCAAGGGACATTGCAAAATTATCATAGTAAAATTAACTTTAAATCACTTAAATTAAACTTTTAAAAAAAGCTATGCCACCTAGCAATTTTGAGGGGTTGGGGGTGAAGAGGCAATAATAGAAAAGAACCAAGCACTATAGCTTGTCAGCTTGTCACAATTACATAAATGTCAGCAATTATGGATACATCTGTTGATTCTAGTCCCACATATACACAAGAGCAAGTTTCAGTACAACAGAAAGAGATTCTTTGCCAATGGGATCATCGATAAGCTGAAAATACTTTTAAAACAGTCACTTTGCTTTTTCTGGCCTCAGTTTCCTCATCTGTAAAACCAGAAGTTGTACTAGATGATGTCCAAGGTTCTTTTGACTCTTAAAGTCATCTGAAATATATCTATTTCTAATCAGGCAGATTTCTCATCTAATCTATGTTACCTGTTCATTGCCTTTTATAAATATTATTATGAAACGGAGAGTGCTAATGTAGGAAACCAAGGGACAAAAGGCACATGAGAAGTGACAGTGTAGTCTTCCCTAATTTCTCCCCTCAATCCAAAATTGTGATGAAAGCTGTTCAAATATTATCTTCATTTTAATATTATCATTCATATTTTGGCTTCTAGGTGGCGCTGTGGATAGAGGGCTGGATCTGGAATCATGAAGACCTGAGTTCACATATGGCCTCAGACACTTACTAATTATGTGACCCTGGGCAAGTTACTCTGCTTGCCTCAGTTTCCTTATGCGTAAAATGGGGATAATGATAGCAAATCCCAGTGTTGTTATGAGGATCAAATGAGATAATAATTGTACTATATAAAAATGTTAGCTCTTATTATTATTTCTTTGCACATGAATAATTGAGGCATAAGGAGAGTAAGTGGATTGCCCAAGGTTACAGAGCTAGAAAGCAGTAATACTGGAACTCAGGCACAAGTCTCCTGACTCCAAATCTGTTGCTTCTCCCACTATAACTAGTTAATTAACACTAAAGGAGGACCAGAGGTATGATGGATGATTAAGTAAATCATGTTTTTGAACTGTGCCTTCAGGCTTGTAAGTGAATAAGGCTATGTCTGATAGTCTGAGAACTTATTCCAATGAAATTATGAAAGCATACTACTAAAACCAGCATTGGAAGACCTTGCAAAGTTGTTCATTTTTCCCCATCCTGTCTGTCTACTGTTTACTTTCAACTCTCTCCACTCTGCAAAGAACCTCATGATAGGAGATTTGTGCCAAAGTTTCCTCAAAATTCCCTGGAGCATTCTTAAATATTTAAAAAATTTCTTTTGCATACAAGATCACATATTAGGTTCTTAATAAATATTTAATGAATTGAATTGCATGGAAATAAAGAAATATCAAGCTCCTAAGTCAAGCACCCAAGAAGAATAACGACCTAATTTTTTAATAATTTTAACAAATTTAACAGTTTAATAAATTGGAGTGCTCAAAAGCACTACAAATGGATATATGACATATATAAAGGGTGATATCAAAAACAGATTAGGGGAGCAATGAAGAAATTACTTTTCAGATTGATGGATAAGGGAAGAGTTCATGACTAAACAAATCTTTTTGAGGATTATAGAAGATAAAATAGACAATTTTGATCATATAGGTTGTTTAAAAGTTTTTGCACAAGCAAATCAAAATTTAGTTAAAAATAAAAGAGAAATAGAAAACTGGGAAAAATTCTTTGCAGCAATTTTCTTTGATAAAAGTCTCATATTTAAGATATATAAGAAACTGATTAAAATTTCTAAGACTAAGAGCCATTCCCCAATAGATAAACAGTCAAAGGACAGGAAGAGGCAGTTTTCAAAAGAAGCAACTTAAACTATTGGTAGCTATTTGGAAAAATACTCCTAGTAACTAATAATTACAGAAATGAAATTACGGAAACTCTAAGGTCTACCTCACAGCCACCAAAATGGGAAAGATGACAAAAGATGAAATTGACAGATGCTGGAGGGGCTAGGGAAAAGTCAAACTACTGCATTGTTAGTAATCTTGTGAATCTGTCCAATCATTCTGGAAAGCAACTTGAAATCAAGCTCCCAAAGTTACAAGCCTTAGTTGAATTTACTTGTCTGTGGAGGACTGTTTTGTCATCAGCAGCATCCACTGTAGTAAAAAAGAGCATTACATCTGAAGTCAAAGGATCTGGGTTCAAATCCTGTTTGTACCTCTCCTTGATCTCAGTTTTCCCAATTTTAAAATAATGGAGTTATATAAGATAATTTCTAAGGTCCCTTTTTAAGGTTCAAAGTTTAGTTCATGTGTCTTGACTCAAAGCTATGCTTGCTTTGGGCATATATCTTTATGTCTTTGTCCAGATTTACACCTAGATCTAAATATTTTTCTCCAAGCACAAAATATCTACTGAACTTCAACATGCAAAAAGAATTTTATCTATTGGTTAAGATATAAAATTTGGGCCCACACCAAATCAATCCATTGAAGTGAGGCCTCCCTACCTCACCCCCTACTCCCACCCAATACTGTGTATATAATTTCTATATACTTATATGTATATGTGTTGTCTTTCCTGATAGAATGGAAACTTTCTGAGGCAAGAACTGTTTCATCTTTATTTTCTAATCCCTTGATCTCAGCACATGCCCAGTACAGTGGAAGTGTTTAATAGATACTTAATGATGGATTGGAGGAATCCACTATGTCTGAAAGAGGTATGCAGTGTTCTGAGAATAATTCATTTATTTTATTTCACCAACAGTGGTGGGTTAAAATTAAAGAAACAAAAAGACAAAACAAAATGGAAAATTATTTTTGCTGATGTAACTTTTTTTGTAAATTAAACTTTTGTGGAAAAAAGCAATTCAATTCTGATATGTTCCAAGTACTTTTCTTACTGTAACTTTAGAAGAGTGTAATTCCATTCGATTAAAAGTTTTAATAGTTTAAAATGGCATTAAGACTTTTGAGACATCCTGTATCATATACATGCTCTGATCTCCTTAATAAAATTGTAATCTTCTTAAGGTCGGGCACCATGTCTTCTAGTATTCCACCCAGTGACTAGCAGTGTCCAGCACATAATAGAAGCATGTTGAATTAAATTGCTAAATCAAAATGAAAGATTATATATTATTCAGGAGTTTTGTGGGAAGTTACTTCTTACTCAGTCCAGCAGACCTTATCCAATAGCTCCTTCATTGTCATGAAATCCCACTCTTCTGCGAGAGGTGCTTTCCAGGGAGCGTCACTTGGAATCTATACAGAAAAGGGCAAAATGTTTTTCCATTTTGGGATTATTTGGGGATACCAGCTAAATAGCATGTTAAAGCATAACTTAGAGACCGCAAATAAAGCTATGTGTCTGTACTATGCAATTTCATAAAGTTCATCTAGATAGCGGGGAGATACTGTAAATAAATGAGCTATAGTGTTTTTAAATATTAAGACAGACATTCAGACAGACAGACAGATAGGTAAATAGAATGTAAGTATGGTGTAGTGGATAGAGAGTTGGCCTCAGATCCAAAACAACATGAATTCAAGTTCTGTTTTTTTTTTTTTGTTTTGCTTTATGGTGAGGCGATCGGGGATAAGTGACTTGCCCAGGGTCACACAGCTAGCAAGTGTTAAGTGTCTCAGGCTGGATTTCAACTCAGGTCCTTCTGACTCCAAGGCCAGAGCTCTATTCACTGTGCCACCTAGCTGCCCCATACACCTAGCTGCCCCTAAGAAACTTGAAGGCAAGGACCGTTTCTTTTTTGTCCCTCTATCCTCAGTGCCCAAACCAGTGCCTGGAAGCTTCATAAATTTAACTTACTGAATAATGGAATTAATGTCTACTTCTTTTTTTTTTTCGTTTTTGTTTCTTTAGGCAATTGGGGTTAAGTGACTTGCCCAGGGTCACACAGCTAGTAAGTGCCAAGTGTTTGGTCTGAGGCCGGATTTGAACTCAGGTCCTCCTGACTTCAGGGCTGGTGCTCTATCCACTGTGCCACTTAGCTGCCCCCTCAAGTTCTTAATCTAATGTATACTGACTGTATTTGTTGTTGTAATGTCTTTTTCAATCATGTCCAACTCATTAGGGTTTTCTCAGCAGAGATACTTGGAGTGGTTTGCTATTTTTTTCTACAGCTTATTTTACAGATGAGGAAACTGAGGCAAACAGGGTTAAGTGATTTGCCTAGGGTCACACAGTAAGTGTCTGAGGGTGGATTTGAATTCAGGTTTTCTTTACTCCAGGTCTGGTGCTCTATTCACTGAGCCCTCTAACTGCCCCACACTGACCATTTGAACCAGACCAGGGGTGGGGAACCTGCAGCCTTGAGGCCATATGTGGCCTCAAGGTCCTTGGGTGTGGCCTTTTGACTGAGTCCAAGTTCTACATAACAAATTCTTTTATTAAGGGGATTTGTTCTGTGCAGTTTGGATTCAGTCAAAGGGCTGCACTTGAGGACCAAGAGGGCCACACGTGGCCTGAACCAGACCAACTTATTCAACCTCTGAATGCTCTCAGGCAATGCTCTCAGACCACAAGTCACAGAGTTGTTTATCTACATTGATAGAGAAGATTTTTCTCACTGGGTGTCTGCCCGCATTGATAAAATGAAAGGAAATATACACACACACACACACACGCACACACATATATACGTAGGTATATTTTATATATCATTCGGTCATTTTCAGTCATTTTATTTTATATATACATATTTATTTTTTGGCCTGGACCTTTGATGAAATCAAAGTCTCCCCCTTCCCCTCCCATCTGTGTGTATACATATAAACACATGCATGTTACAGTTATGTGTACACATGCATGTGAATATATGCATGTGTATATGTATGCATGTGTATTTGTGGACATTAGCCAGTGTGCCCCCTGTTTTCATACGGCCTACAGGTTAAAAATAGTTTTTACATTTTAAAATACAATAAAATTTTGTAAAACTATTCTTAAGGGGTGAGCACAGTGGGATCAAATCCAGCCTTATGGGCCATATTTGCCAGCCTCTGCATTACACCATACTGCCCTTTCTATGAAATATTTTTACTGATGTTATTAGGATTATTTAAATTGTTACCTTCACTGCCATAATTTTATTTGTTTGGCATTCATATTATTATTTCTACTTATTGAACTCTATTAACTGAACTGCTGAATTCATGATGAAACCTTTTCTTTCTTATAATAAATCCTGTCTTTAAATAGATGGTCCCCAGACATGGATCATGATGTCTAATTCTAATTTAAAACTAGCCACTATGTCAGATTAGCCTAATAAAGAAGTGATTGGTGGAAAGGAAATACACAGACAAAACTTTCCTGGATCTGCCCAGAAGGGGAATAAATTTGCCTCTGAACATGTCAACCCAAATTCAAAATACTTCAAAAATGAGGTCTATTGTTATTTAGTCACGTCTGACGCTGTGTGACCCCATTTGTGGTTTTTTTGGCAAAAATACTAGAGTGGTTTGCCATTTCCTTCTCCGGGTCATTTTACAGATGAGAAAACTGTGGCAAATGGGGTCAAGCGAACTGCCCAGTGTCATACAGCTAGTAAGTGTCTGAGACTGGATTTACCCAGTGGTCAATCTACTGTACCATCCCTTCAATTTGCTCCAATCTACATTTCCAGTTTAATTTCACCCTATTCTCTTCACACATTCTACATACTAGTCAAAGAGACTACTATCTCTTTCCTGAATGCAAGCTTCCATCTCTGACTTCCTAGAATAGACCATGCTCCACACTGGGAGAGTGAGCCTTCTTGATGGCCTCCACGGACCTCCTCATCCAATTTTCTTAAGGTACTTTTTGGGGAGCTCTCTTTTGTCCCTTCCTCCTTTTATCTTGTCTTGTCTCATATGTATTATTAGTCATGTCATATTCCCCAGTGCAATGTAAGTTCCTTGCGGGGAAGAACTATGTCCTTTTTCCTGTTTTTATTCCCAGAACATAGTATAGCACTTTGTGTATCATGGGCACCTCATAAATGTTTCTTTAAATGCTGTCAGAGACGTGGGAAAATTGAGACACTAATGCACTGTTAGTGGAGGTGTGAACTGTTCCTACCATTCTGAAGAGCAATTTGGAACTATGCCCATATGGCTATAAAACTGTGCATACCTTTTGATTTAGCAATATCACTAGTAGGTATGTATCCCAAAGATATTAAAAAAATAAAAAGGACCTATACGTATAAAAATATTTATAGCAGCACTTTTTATGATGGCAAAGAATTGGAAATTGAGATATCCAGCAATTGGGGGAATGGCTGAATAAACTGTGGTATATTATTTTAGTGGAATACTATTGTGCTATAAGAAATGATAAGCAGGATGATTTCAGAAAAAACTTGGACTTAACAAGAACTGATGCAGAGTGAAGTGAGCAGAACCAGGAGACCATTGTATGCAGTAACAGCAATACTGTACAATGATCAACAGGAAATGACTTAACTATTCTCATTAATACAATGATCCAAGAAAATTCCAAAGGACTCATGATGAAAAATGCTGTCTACCTCCAGAGAAAGGACTTATGGAGTCTGAATGCAGATTGAAGATGCTTTTTCTTCACTTCATTTTTAGGGATTTTTTTGTCTGTGTCTTCTTTTTCAATATGACTAACATGGAAATATGTTTTGCATAATTGCACATGTATAACCTATATCAAACTGCTTACTCCCAGGGAAGGAAGAGAAAGGTGAGGGAAAGAATTTGGAACTCAACATTTTAAAAAATGATGTTAAAAATTGTTTTTATATGTAATTAGGAAAAATAAAATATTATTTAAAAATAAAAAGAAAAAGAAAAATGTTTCTTGAATTGAAAAGAAGTGGAATGAAGCTCTGTGTAGAGATGTGGAGTCATAGCCTATACTTTAGAGAGAAGGAAGACTTGGGGAAGCATCAGCTGGTTCTAGTTGGTTCTGAATCAATGACCTACTGTGAGCACCATAGAAATAGAGAATTTTAAGTAATTTTTTAAATAAATATACTATTTATAACAGTAATTGTGCATCAAATTTTCTTTCTTTCCTTCTTTTCTTTTGAGTGTCATAAAGAATGGAAGAGAAATAAGACAACATAAAAATTAACATAGTTGAAATGTGATCTTTTTTAAAGCTTAGGGAAAGAAATGTATTTTCCCTTTAACTGACCAGCTAAACAAGAAGACTCTGTACCTCATAAAAGAAGACTGTACAGGTTCAAACATTCATACCTGTTTTCCCATGTCATCCATCGTTCTCCATAAGTTATTATGATCCAAGAATGCGATAGGGTTCCATACTGGAGGAATTGGACCTCTGAAGGGATAACTTTTGCCCTGTAACATATAAGATGAAAAAATAACTTTGACAAAATGTTCTATAATCTTTCATTCCTTTGTACATATTTATATTAATTTCATTATAATGAATACTTTCAAAGGAGAAATCTTAGACTTTCAAACATTTTGTCTTAAAACACAGCACATAATACAATTCCATCATGTTGAAGAAAGAAATGATTAATTAAAACATGGGTTCTTAACACATAGTCTATGAACTTGGTTTTAAAAAAAATTTTGATCACTGCATTTCAACATAACTGATTTCCCTCATAACCATATGGATTTTATTTTATCTATTTAAAAACATTATTCTAAGAAGGTATTTATAAGCTTTAGCAAAAAGGGATCCATGACACTCCTGCATTACTAAAATTATACAAGTGAGGCAACTAGAAAAGGCCCAAGATATGTCTAACTTGTAATGAGATCATAAGATCATAATTTAAAGCTGGAAGGAAGATCACTTAGTCCAGGCTCCTCATTTTACAGATGAGGAAACTGAGGACAGAAAGACTAAGCAATTTTTCCAAGGTCACACAGGTAGCAAATGGCAGATATTTTGATCCCTGGTCCTTTGACTGGAAATCTTTGCACTATTCCATTCTGCTTGTTTGAAGTGTGCTATACAACATAAACAGTAGCTCACATGTATATAGCACTTTATTTTATTTTACAATCAACAAATCTTTATTAAGCACTTATTATATGCCAGGCATTGTGCTGAAGATAAAAATATATTTTTAAATTTTTATTTTTAATTTATGGAACAAAATAAGCATTTCCATAACATAGTTTTAATAAAAAAAGATGATTGCACAAGAAACTGCAAATCTACTTTGTACAACTAGCTATTCCTTTTAAAATACAACAAAGTTAACATTTAAATTTCATTTTTTCCCCTTCTCTCCCCTCACCCCACCCTAGAAATGGCCACCATTAGACACAAATAGGTATATATATATTTATATACACACACACACACATATACATATATGTGTATATATACACGTGTGTATATATATACACACACATATATGTATGCATGTAAAATTATTCTATAGATACTTCTAAACAAATCTCTGAGGAAAGAGGTGTAAACATTATGATTCCCATTTTATAAATTTGTAAACTTGGACTTAAGGAAGCTAAATGATTTTCTTGCAGCTTTATATCTTATTAGAGGGAATACTAGAACTAGGACTCAAATATAAACCTGACTATAAGTTTGGTGCCCTTTCCACTATACTACACTGTCTCACCTAAGATTTTACGAGATATAGGCACATTGGGGGATGCAGGAGGGCACGAACAGGCCCATGTTGTGGCTGTTTGGTCATTCAGTTGAAAGTAACTCTTACCTCCTTCCCCTAATGTTTTGTATGTTACTACTCAATAAACAGGTGCACATTAATTCTCATAGAGCCCTTCGGGCAGGCTGAAGGGCAGAAGGTTTTGTGAGAGAAAATAGCATCGAATTAGGAGTTAGCCCCTGCTCTCCATTACTAACTAGTTGTGGGATATCAAGTCAAGTTATTTCTCTGGGTCTTAATTTTCTTATCTGTAAAATGACGGGATTAGTCCAGCAGAGTCCTAAAAATTCTATGATGAGTTTCTCATTCTCTTAGTTACCCTATTTTGGAGACGCTTTATCAACATTCCTCCTAGAATGTGACAGCTGGAAGAATTTCTTGAGAGTTATTCAAAAAGGACATATTTCTTAGGGACAGGCCTGAAGCCAGTATCCTGTTCAGGTTTGATTTGGGGATGAAATGAGACACTTGTCAGGCATGGAACAATTAACAAAAAGAGGCTTACTTTGCCCTAAAAATCTGCAACAAGAATACAGTGGCACTTGCATCTACACAGCTTTCATCTCCATATGGAAATGCTTCTGGTGGGCAGGACAAATTGGTGACTCTTGTGACCTTCAGATAGCCACCAAATCTGATAGCCCCTAACTCCATTTACATGGGATTTTTTACACCCTTGGTTGGCCAGGAAGCTTCACCAATGGAGAAAGACAGGTGAGGTCCAGAGGACAGATTTTGCTTTTAGGATAAATGAATCCCTGTTGTGGGAGGAGGAGCTGTAACCATGAGAGATATGGATCCATCACAGTATTCAAAAAAAGCCCTAAATGTGGAGTCAGAACACTAGAGGTTATTCTGGGCTAGTAACTTCAATCCTTTGTAAAATGGGGATAATAATAGTTGATTACCTACTTCTTTGGGTTGTTTGGGAAGGAGGGAAGTGCTTTGTAATCACCTATGGAAATGATTATTGTTATTACTGACTAGAAATGATTTACATTAAGTTCTCTGGTCAAACAAGTCTCTCTAGGTATCCTTTCTAGCACAGTTTGGAGCCACAGGCTAATGTGGGGGCAGAGAGACTCACAAATTCATGACTTATCCCTTAGCCATCCCCTTAAATATGATTCACAGGTAAATTTTATTTCCTCAAAGTCGCAGGAAAAGAGAAAAGAAAGAAGACTACTTTGTTGCAAAATAGTTAAAAAACAGTAATTTCCATAGAATAATCAATCTATCAATAAGCATTCATTAAGCACCTACTAGTGCCAGGCACCATGCTAAACCCTGGGGATGCAAAGACAAAAAAGAAAAAACAGGCCCTGCCTGCCTTTGAGACATTTACACTCTAGTGGAGGGGAGACATGTACACATATAAATGTATGCAGAATAAATGCAAAGTGTTCGGGGGGGGGAGGGCACTAAAGGATGGTGGGATCTAGCTCAAAATGCCTGCTCTACAGTTTTGGATGTGGCACTAGAGCTTAGGAGAAAGACTTGGGCTTTACATAGTTCTGTGACTCATCTGCGTAGAGATGTGATTAAATCGATGGAAGCTGATAAAGTGACCAAGAGACTGAATATAAAGAAAGAAGCTCCTGATCAGAGATTTGGGGAATAGCCACAATTTGGGGGCATGATATAGATGATTAACCAGCAAAGGAGGATGAAAAGGAAAACTTAAGATAGGTATCAGAATCAGTCTTGAAGACCTAGAGAGAAGGGATTATCCAGAAGAGTATCAAGTGTAACAAGGACAGCAAGAATGATGAAGACAGAGAAAAGATCATCATATTTGGCAATTGTCTGATTTTGGTAAATTTTGGCAAATGTTTAGATTGTTGGTAACTTTGGAAAAGAGAACTTTTGAGAGATGACATCAGAAGCCAGTTTTCAAAGTGAGAGAAGCAATTTTTCTATTATATTAATAACCATTATTAAATTAGGATTAAAGCTTTTTCTCTTTATTTCCTCATTCAGGGACCAGCCCCTGTGCAACAGTCACCCAGTATCTGAAGGACAAGGCTGATAGATGACATTGTCCAAATCCTCCAAGAACATGCTCCATGATCTTAGGCAGGGCTTCACTCAACTAGCAGACCTTATTTCTGTTTAGAGTGTAAACAAAATCTAATCTAGGTGGATTCCAGCCCCCCCAACCCCCCAAAGCATTAAGCCCATGTCCTTGTACCCCTCATTGGAGTTTAGGATAATTCAGCTCAAGAAGGAGAAAACCAACCAGAGAGGTCTGGGTAGAGATAGCTTTCTTTGTCCATATTGCTGGTTATAACTGAGTCTCATGATCATGAGAGATTAGGAACCAAGGGAGTATTGGGCAATCTGCCAGAGTAGATAGGAGACAAAAAGATCAAGGGCTCATGTAGAAGGGTTGGCTTTGGAAAGAAGAAGTGCCTTCGTTATTAGAGGCTAGAAGAAAGGAGGACAGAATAGGAAAGGGGGATAAAATCAAGTGGTTTTGAGATGAAGAGAAAGGGACAAAAGAGGGAGCTGATGGTAAATGGACTGGATTTTCTCAGTAAAGAAATGAGGTAATCTGCTGAGGGGGTTGAGGTGTGGGAGGTTTGAGGGGATAAGATAAGATATGGAATAGCTTTGGTGGCAAGTAGAATGGGCAATCAATTAGGGAGAACCAACAAGATTGAGCTAGGGTTCATGGAGATTAGATAACATAATTGTTAGTTCCTCCAGTCAGCTCAGTTATTTGATTTTCTCCAGCTGAGTGAGAAGGAGAACCTAGTGGATGTTGGGAGTAAGATGTGGCAAGGAATCAGTGACAATAATATAGGGAAGCTAGGTGGTACAGTGGAAAGGATGCTGCCCTTGGAGTCAGGAAGACTTGAGTTTGAATCCCACCTCAAACACCTATAGGTTCTGAACAGATGAAAATTGATTTGACTGGTCTGGACCCAGACCTACAAGATGCATGAAAAGTGTTTTGCAATTATATTAATATAATACTGAATTGATATTGGCAGGTGAGTTTCCAAGTATTTTATACTTGGCATATATTATATTGTCTACAGTTATTTTAAATGGAATTTCTCTTTCTACCTCTTCCTGCTGAGTTTTGTTGATAGTATATAGAAATGTTGATGATTTATGTGGATTTCTTTTGTATCCTGCAACTTTACTGAAGTTGTTCATTGTTTCAACTAGTTTTTAAGTTGATTCTCTAAATTTCTCCAAGTATACCAGCATATCATCTGCTAAGACTGATAGTTTTGTTTCCTCATTGAAGAAATATTAATTTCTGAGGCTGAGCCAATATAATAAAAATGACAATTCTATTTAAGTGAATTTACTTATTCAGTGCCATACAAATCAAACAATCAAGGAATTATTTTACAGAGCTAGAAAAAATAATAATAAAATTCACCTGGAAGAACAAAATGTCAAGAATATCAAGAGAAGCAATGAAAAAAAAATGTTAAGGAAGGTGGTCTAGCAGTTCCAGATTTCAAACTATATTACAAACTGGTAATCATGCAAACAATCTGGTACTGCCTAAGAAACAGAGTGGTATATCAGTGGAATAGATTAGGTATAAAATACACAGTAGTAAAAGACCATAATAATCTAGTTCTTGATAAACCCAAAGATATAAGCTTTTAGGGTAAGAACTCACCATTTGACAAAAATTATTGGGAAAACTGGAAAGCAATT